ACAGGTTGGCTCATGCACTTCACGGGCCAGTCAGTCAGTCCAGGAGCCTGCGAGGTGTCGCGTACTCAGCTCCGGCGATGATGTAATGTCACAGCTTTTTCCAGCGAGCGTCGAGCCCCCCTAGCCACCACCTCAGCTTTGCGTGCCAGAGAGTCAGCTCAAACAGGTGTTTTCATGCTATCTAACGTGCAAAACCTGGCTCTGAAGCACATGGAGCACTGTGAAGCCACAGGCAATGGTTTGACGGGCACGATCGTCGGCTGAGAGGTCCATCTGCGCTCAGTGGAAGTTGTAAGGAGACCTGGATGAATAGCGTAAAACATTACTCCCTACGCATAGTGTACATCGAAAGTGACAGCTGATTTTCGGAGCTTTGACAAGCTGAGGTGACGCTGGAGATCCAGTGGATGCTGCACTCTTACCAGGATCAGGTCTGAAGAGGTACGTCACAAATACTTCATTCCTCCATCCGCTTCCGCGTGATCACAAGGTATCGTGTCCGTCCCCTCTGGAGGTGATGGCCTGTGCATGCTGAGTTTGTGGTCCCGGTCCCAGGTGGAGCTCTTCGGCCAGGAGCGGCTGGGGGGGAAGCTACTTCCCATTCCCCGCATTCATGCTGCTCTACGTCATGTATCCCTCACACCTTCACGTCAACCGGAGCTTTCGTAGCTCCAAATGTTCCTCGCCTGCTTGCCCCAGGTCGACGGCATGTCGGTAGTGCAGCTCACTGGTGTGATTTGGTTCCAGGAGGCGTGTGGGAAGGAGTGTAACCGCGCAAGAAATGAGACAAGAGCTGCGGCGCCAGTGATTCGATAGCAAGGTACTAATAGATCATGCCATCCTGCTCTTTCTCGTGACGAAAACTGCTTTCTTTCTCCTCTCTCTAATTCAATCAATTAAATCACATAATCACGACGATAGCTTCAAGCTTCTCCCGATCGTAGCTCAGAAGTCACACGTCAACCAGCTCTACTACACCCTACACTACACACAAATCCAATCAACATGTCCAAGAAGGCTCCCCTTTTCCTCGGTCTCACTGCCGCTGGCGGTGTCGGCTACTACCTCTACAGCGCTGGCGGAAACCCTACCGCCGCGGAGAAGAAGTTCGAGAGTATGTTTACCCGTCGCATCGCTGCCTTCTCATCATCGCAAAGGCTGACCCACGTTATTTAGGTGACGTTCACAAGGCATCCGCCGAGGTCAAGTCTCATCTTCCCGGACGCACGCCCGACGCCCAGAACAAGGGCGCGCAATTTGGTGCCAAGCTTGACGAGGCCGTAAGTTCATCTTTGCCCACCTCTGCCCGGCCTGTCTCCAGCACATCTTCAATGATCAATCGTCGCTGACAATCTCGCCAGGTCGCTGAGGCCGACAAGAAGTTCTCTGCCACTAAGAGCAACGTCGAGGCGTACGCCAAGGACGCAAAGGCCGAAGCCTTGAAGAAGGTCGACGCCTTTGACAAGACCGTCGAGACCGAAGCCGCCAAGGCCAAGAGCGGCATCTCCAGCTGGTTCGGCGGCAAATAAGCCCTACGACTACTCTGGCGATCATTTTCTTGTGTTTTCTACGTAATGGATCAATCATGACAACGGGCATCGGGTTTGCTTTCTCAGCTCTGGGTTAGGAGTCGCAATACGAATCAATTATAATCATTTGACTCATGTTCAGTTACTTGAAAGTCCACAGGGCTTCCTCGTGGTATTCTTTGCTGCCTGCTCGGTAATTTTGAAAGTGACCTTTTCTCCTCTATCCTTCCCGACCGACCCTTGATGTTTGATACACAGGCTATTACATAATTCATTTCTCCAACACTTCAGCAACCAATTTCAGGATTTCCTCGGTTCCCTTCCTTGCATTGGCGGGCTGTTTGGCAATCGCTTGCCAGTGTTCGCCATGGCGTGGCTCGTTCAAGACACACTTGTTGATGACATCCGCTCGTTTCTCCTGGGATCGAGTTAGCTTACAAACGTCAAATCGATAGTCACCAAGACAGCTACTTACGTCTGTTCCGTGCTGGAGCAAGAACTTGTAATACCAAGCCCAAGTGTCGCCATTGTCGCTGTCCAGCACCAGCGCCTTCTCGAACCAATTTTGTGCCTTTTCGAGCTTGCGTTCGCCCCAAAAGATTCGGGCCACAGCTACAAACAGGATAGGGTCGTTGTCCACCTTCTTAATGGCCTCTAGTGACCGCGGCTTGCGCTGAGTCCGTGGTTCCAAGTGCCAGATCTGTTCACTCCACAAGAGTCCACTCTTGGGCACCTCTTGGAGTGCCTTGGCCATGAGGGACTTGGCCTGGTTGAGATTGCCCGCGCGTCTTTCGATGCGGACAGATTCGCACCAAAGCTCGGCCGATTTGGGTATCGCAAGTCGGGCTCGGTCGAGAACACTGCGAGCCTTGACGACGAGCCCGGCCTTCTCTTCCAGTCGAGAGTAGAGCAGCCACAATGGAATAGACTTTGACACCGCCTTGACACCTGTGCTGTAGGCCTCGCGTGCCTGGCCGACCTTTCCAAGGTCCTCGTAGATTTGTCCCTTGAGCATCCACAACTTCGCCGTTGCAGGGAAGAATTGCAGCGCCCGTTGGACAAGATCCAGTGCCGCATCGCTGTTGCCCAGCACTCTCTCGAAAACCACACTCTTCATCCACACGCGATCCGTGGGGGCCTGGTCGCGGGCTTCCTCCAGTAGCTTACGAGCGCGCTCGGTCTCTCCGTTCTCGGCTTCGAGCTTGACAGCAGCAAGCCAAATGTCTTCGTTATCCGGGTTAGACTTGAAAGCCCTGGCGAGTACCAATCTGGCATTGTCGACCTCGCCGGCTTGCCACTTCTCTTTGGCCAACATCATCCACAGGACCTCACTCTTGGGGCATGCCTCGACAGCCTTCTCCAGGACCTGGGCGAGCGATTCCTTTGTTCCGTGATTTCTTTCCAGGTCGGCGGCAGCCATCCACAATGTTCTGCTGTTGACGAAAACACGCAGCGCATATGAGTAGATGGCGCGTGCTGTCTCGTACATGCCGCGATTGATGCTGCCTCGGGCGTCCTCCGTCCAGGTGTCCTTGCGGTCGTCGTCTTCGTCGAGACCATAGCCAAGTGTTTCTCTGATAATATTTCCGCACGTAATGACAGCGCCATCCTCCTCGCACTTTTCTGCCTCGGCAATCCACTCCTCGCGTTTGGGCATGGCGGACTCCTTGACCAGAACTGCAATGGCACGCTTCATGACGTTGACCTTCGTACCCTGGCCAAGCTGTTCCTGCAGTCGAGCAGCCGCGATCCAAATCTCGTAAGACGTAGGCACTGCTTTTCGTGCCTTGTTGAGCACCTTTTGAGCGTTTTCAGGGCTCTCCAGTCTTGCCAAAGCCAACCACAGATCAACGGATAGGGGTATAAGCTCTGTTGCCTTGGCGAGCAGCAACCGGGCATCTTCCGGATCTTCTTCGAGGTTGACCGCTTCCTTCCATAGTGCCTCTGATTCCGATATATGATCCAGAGCGAGTCTGATGACCTTCTTCTTCGCCCTAGGCTCATTCTCCAGTCTCATCGCCTCGACCCAGAGACGCACAGATCGATCATTCTTCTTGATTGCCTCAGCGGCAATAATCTTCGCATTCTTTCCATCATTCAGTCGAATATTCTCCAGCCAGACATCCTCGCTCTTGGGGCAATGTGTGCATCCGCGTGCTATCACATTCCGTGCAGCGACCGTCTTGCCTGCCAGTTCCTCCAAGCGAGCCGCAGCAATCCAACCCGGCGCATTATTCGGATTCGTTTTGATCACCGATGTTAACAGCTCGCGTACACGGTTGATGTCGCCGACTTGCGCTTGCGATTCGTTGAGGACGCTTTTGTTCAGACTTGTGATGTAGCCCTTGGGATCGATACTCGATGCGCTACCGGCGACTGATGATTCGGTTCCGTCCTGTGACGCTTGCTCGAGCCTAGACTTGAGGACCTTGTCTCTGGCAGCACCAATCTTGGCAAAATTCGTCATCGTGCCGTCCGCTTGTTCGGAGCTTGATGCTACTCCGTCATCCGCAACCGTGGTGCCCAGCTCTGATGAGTCCCTCGCAGCAGCCAGAACGCTGTCTGGAACCGCGTAGAAGCGTTGTCGCAAGGTCTGCTTGCTTCTCCTATTTTTTCCTGTCAGATCTCCAACTTCAGGAAGGTTTGCCCATTCGTCGTCGGTAACCGTCGAAAGCGCTCTCTTAAGATCCGCAAATTGTTGTGCGATCTTGGGGTTCTTCCGTTCATATTCGTCTTGCTCGGCCTTTTCGCGCGCTTCTCGCTGCTTCTGCCTTCTTCTCGCCATCTTCTCGTCAACTTCTTGCCATATCCTGTCGGCTTCCTCGTCATCTTTGTCGTACACGCCACCTGCGAAAAGGCCGACTTCGTTATCGGGGTCCTTGAACCGGTCATCGTCGTCGTCCTTCTCCTCCGCCTTCTTGCCGTCGGTGCCTAAGCCGAGTTGTGCTGCGCGCTTGGCGACCGCTTCCTTGATTTGGTCCTCAGTCGGTCCTTCGCGTGCAGGACCCAGATCTGATCGCGTAGTGAAGCCAGTAGCACCTCTACCAAGACCAGCGACGTAGTTTTCGGGAGCCGGTTGGCTCAGGAAGTCGCGCCTGCCCGACATATTGGCGATTGAACAGGTGGCTCTTCAGTGCGGCAGCAAGATCAAGAGGGCGCGCCTGATGGGGTATTTGTAGGCAATCAGGGAGGTTTGGCCTCACTCTATGCTTGGAACCGGTCGCGCAAGGCTGAAGTGGTACTAAAGTTTTTGAGCTGCACAATCCCTGTCGCGCCAGGTCGTAGTGGGGCGAGGGTCCACTAAAATTTCCAAAAGGCTGCCCCTCCATCTTCACCGCAGACTTCGACATCGCGAAGATTTCTGGGTCTCAAACTTTGCGCTACCGGATACTGTACGCCAGAGGTCGACAGCTTCCCACAAACCTGGTTTCTTTGGTATAGCGCGACAGTTCGACAGTTCACATACGCAACATGGGTAAAGCGAAAGCTGGTAAGCGGAATGCCGCCGCCGCCTCCTCGGGAAGCCCGTACTCTCGACCTTCTCAGAAGACGAACAATGTCTTCAAGTTCAACGTGCGTCGCATTCTATAATACGTCTTGGAACTTTGACTAACTACCGTCATAGACGAATGTTGGTCAACATATCTTGAAGAACCCCGGTGTGGCGGATGCGATTGTTCACGTACGCCCAGACTCCCCCCGTCCATAACGAACCAAACACTAAGTGCGTCTACACAGAAAGCCGAACTTAAGCCCACGGATACTGTACTCGAAATCGGTCCGGGAACTGGTAACTTAACAGTGAGAATTCTCGAGAAGGCGAAGAAGCTCATTGCGATCGAGTTCGACCCTCGAATGGCGGCCGAAGTGACAAAGGTTGGACAAAACGCCCTCAGGATGATACTCGGAGGCTGACGGGACCCAAAACAGCGTGTGCAAGGGACTCCGGAGCAGCGCAAGCTCGATGTCATGCTCGGAGATGCGATCAAAGTCGAATGGGCTCCTTTCGACGTTCTCATTTCAAACACACCCTACCAGGCACGTTCCTTTGTGCTTTCGATGCAAGGCCGGCGTAGCTGACCTGTCGTTAGATCTCTTCGCCCCTGGTGTTCAAGATGCTTGCGATGCCAAAGCCGCCGCGGCAAGCGATTCTCATGTTCCAGCTCGAGTTCGGACAAAGACTTGTGGCCAAGCCCGGCGACAAGCTCTATGGTAGACTGAGCGTGAACGCCAACTTTTGGGCAACATGCTCCAACGTGGTGAGTAAAGATGCTCGGGAATGCATCTTTGCCGACGGTCTTCTGACACTCTGCAATAGATGAAGGTGTCCAAGGCCAACTTCAGGCCGCCGCCACAGGTCGACTCCTGCGTTGTGCGCATCGTGCCCAAGCAGGGAGCCGAGCGTCCCACCATCGCCTTCGAGGAATTCGACGGCCTCCTCCGCGTTGTAAGTAGTATTATTGTCACTTCATATATCTCGCAGCTAACAAACCATTCAGTGCTTCAACCGTAAGAACAGGACCATGCGAGCCAGCTGGCTCGGCACGAAGGAAGTGCTCCAGATGCTGGAGAAGGTGAGTTTTGAGGTTGTGTGCCTCCGAAGGACAGAGGTACTGATCTGCTACTAGAACTACCGTACATGGGCTGCCATGAACAACGTGCCCCTGGACGACTCTCTTGTTGAGGATGACGAGGACGACGCCATGGAAATGGACGATGACGCGGACGCCGGCGGCAACGATGACAACGATGCCGAGCCCATGGACGACGACACACCCGAGTTCTTCAAGGAGCTTAACGCCACAGCTGCCAAGGCGCCCGAGAAGACGAAGAGCAAGCGCAAGAAGACCAAGGTTGCGGCGCTCGTGCGGAGCAAGATTGAACGCGCGCTCGAGAGCACCGAGCTCATGGAGAAGAGAGCGCGGTTGTGCGACGAGACGGATTTTCTGAAGCTGCTCTCTGCTCTCAACTCGGAGGGCATCCACTTTGCCTAGATGTCCGTCTTCACACGGAATGGCCGGTCTCTGTTGATGGAATTTCTTTTATAGAACGGGCAATCATGGCCTGGCGTTTGGGCGTACAAAATGAGAGGAGATATCAGGTTGCGGAAACGATATGACGGTAGAAGGCTGTGGATCACATTCAATGAAGATTTGCTGTGCTTTTCCCATGAAGCTCGAGTGGTTGTCTAACCTGTGAACCATTCTGGTGCCCCTCCAAAAGGTGTTTAGACCTCCGTCCTTTCTCTCGTTGTTGGAGACGTCGTAGCATCAATAATAGACAGGCAAGATATACGCTGGATCTCAACTAGCTTCGGTTTGGACCGTTATTCATTCAGCAGCTTCATACCACAGCCGTGTTGGGCAAAGATACATCGAAAGCATTTTCACCCCATAGCATGACTTACACAACAGCCCCGACACCGAGGCACATCGTCTCATCTCGAAGCACCCCATCCGGATTCTAGAAGACCTCTAAAGCCATACTAGTCTCTTTCCATCTCTTCCCTTACCGAGGTAACCCATCACGGCATACAACCCCAATCAAGATCACCGACGCAGTCTCATCCGTGGGAAGAAGGCAGGGGGGTTGCTTCCCGGCCAACCATCGCCGAAAGGTCTAGGAGTCATCATTTGTCAGGCAGTCATCATGAAGCCGTCTTGTCCACTCGGGAGTCAGTCACACTGCAACTACTGCTCTCATTACCAGAATGAAAAGATTGGGCCTTTTGTCAGCGATGAGCTTCTCAAATCAGCACTCTCCGTCAGGCATAGATTGTGGCTGTTCGCCCGAAATGGGAACTTCATTTTCTGCGGATGCGTGCTCGACTTCACAGCACCAGTTCTCTCCATTGAACCGAATTGGACCGATGGAAGAGGAAGTATCGCCCCTATTTCGGGAAGGAAGGGAAGCGTAACGGGACAAAACGGTACTTTAGCCACCTCGCCCGGTTCCGTAACCAAGTATAGAGTATCATGATACACCTTATTTGGAAGGGGGCAGAGAGCAGGTACATCACCACCGTGGGAAACCGGAAGGAAATCAAGAGAGACGAAGTAATTAATAGGAGTAAAAAGGGGAATGGAGGGGCGGGCCAACGTGGCTCTGTGCATGCAGTCAGTTCTTTCAAAGAACATGAACAAATTACAGCAGGCCACGCCCACGCTCATCCAATCCGACTGCGCCTTATGCCACCACCAAGAAGTGACCGGGCCAAAGACTCCCGCCCAGGGATGCATAGGTAATGTAAGTACTGATTTGTCGGGCGGGTGGTAAGCATTAGACAGAGAGGGAGAGAACAAGGCTGCCTTACCCGCGCGGATTGCGTTCCCGTCAGCGCATCGCGACGAGACGAACAAGGCCCGTCCCATCTGACAGGCGCCAGCCTTTGTCTTTCCCACCATGGCGGGTTATAATCTACCCTACCAGTGGGATTGAGTGTGGGTTGCGCGTAGGCTGGCTGGGCTTTGAACTTGTTCGTCTGCCTAATAGAACGTTCCTTACCTGCCTACCTCCTCGAAACCTGAACCTCTTCAAAGAGGTGTGGAACGTCATTGCATATTAAACTGCGACTGTCCCAACCTATAGACTTCCGGGTTCCTGCGCAGATGATCAACGCCCGCCGCCGGCGCGCTGACACGCGGGGGGAAGGGGGCTGTTGGAGGGATTCGGTAGGTGGATTCTGGAAAAGAACCTTTTCTATTCCTTGGAAGAATCAACATCACGCGCCGGACATGAAGGTTTCAAAAGCCGTACGAGACGTTGACGTGGTTTTGTCTCTCTTTTTTTCACGCTTATTGTCTTTGTGTGTGGGGGCCTAAGGAAGGCATCTAGTTCGGCCTGCCAAGTAATGCGAGAATGGAAAGCAAGAGACAGAGGGAGGACAGCTTGGACTGGGCAAGCCAGCAGAGCGAGCCGTGTTTCTCATCAGACAACCACAGCCTGGTTTCCCTGATTTGTATTGCCCTCTCACTCTACAAGTCTATGACTGCTTAGGTATGTGAGCCCCGCGGCTTGAGAGAGGGCTCACCACTTCGGCACCATCGCACGGGAGGGTGAGACCTGCCAGGCCTACCGATCCTCCCGGACACCCTTTTTAGACGGATGGAATGTGTACTACTGCAGCGTATATTCTGACGTACCTATTTTTTGGTACGGAGCATTATTCCCTCTACGCCTGGCTGAGCCACACCTTTGGCGGTCCTCACTTCCCTCCCGTGCATGGTAAGCACAGGCTACCTAGAGCTGGAGGCTGGAGGCAGCGTCTTCGATGCAACGTGGAGAAGAACCGAAAGAACGGCCTGTCAGCGCCGGAGCGACCTGCTCAGCGCTTCTGTCGCACAGCATCAGCTGCCAGATCAGCCGTTCGTCGGGTTTCGGTGCTCAGTATGGCCGGTGAGCACCTCGGTCTGGGCGGGGAACGGAGCCTGTCATTCTGTCTCGTGGGGGCCGCCGCGGCCCATCATACGATGGGTCAAGGTCGATGGGCCAAGACCGCAAAGGGATTGGCGTCGATGAAGAGAGCACCAGCAATGGCAGCGTTTGACATAGCCCAGATCCCACACTTGCACAACCATCGCAGCGAAGGCGGCGATGACTATGCGATGTGAGTAATGGGCAGATGCGGGAAACGTCAAATCGACCTGGTAACGTTCACCGCGCATTTCAAGTTGTTTTCTTCTGCCTGTCCCCAGATTGGGGGATCCGAGGGGAACAGCCGACGACCAATCGAACGTCGCAAAAGCCCCCAATAGCTCGGTACCATCAGGGCATCGTGGACGGGTGGGTTTATTGTGACGTTCTGTCGGGAGCATGGGGTCGGTGCAACTTTTCCTCGCTTTAGGAAATGTCTCAGGTTATCCAGAGGATCAGAACCCAAGCACTTGAGATGGCGGCCCCCTAAAACCAGAGCCCAAGGTTGGCTCACATGGGAGATGCAGCCAGTCGTGTGCCTGCCACGTCGTCCACTTGGCTGTCTGTGAGAGGCTCAAGGAAGCTGGTGGGAGGAACGTTGGCTTCTTCTTGATCTGCTGACCTGCAGACATTCCGTTGTTGGCAAAGACAGATTTCTTGTCGACAGCCGTATCCGTAGGTAGAGACGAGAACGTGCCAAAAACATTACGGAGTGGAACGGTGTACACTTGGTACCAACCCTTTCCTATTGACGAAAGTTTTATCTGTCTTTCTTAACGAGGAAAAATGCTGCCAAATACCACATTCCGAGTCAATGAAGCCATGCCTCGTCTCGTAGGGGTAGTGTGCTCCCGACAAGAACCTTCCGTATTGGGGATTCTGACATAACACCGCCATTTCGACCTCAACGGTCGACCGTTGGAAGCGAGCAAGCAGGCACCCGATCGCGGCGGGCGTTACGGTTTATGGTTTGTAAATCGTGGCAAAGGCGGAAGTGTAAGTTGTGCCTGGTTGACTAAGATAGGGTAGAAGCCTCAAGAGACATGCGTCAACTTCAATAGTGCTTCGGCACCAGGTCCGAAGCCCACGTAAAGGCCCTTGATTTGTTTGCAAAGTACCCCGTATGGAGCAGTGGCATGCGTCCCCGTCCCCCGTCAGGGTACCAAAAGCCACAGCATGACTGTTTGTTGTCTGTCTGTCCTGAGACTCTATTTCAAGTTGTTGTTGACTGCAAGCTAAGCAGGTTGTATGGTAGCGAAATGGCAGCAATCAAACGACTCGTTAGGAATTTGCTGAATATCACTGGGTTCTTCCGCCTAGAACTTGGCTCCCGAAATTTGGAAATGGGCAAATCTTGAAGCAAGAGATGCACCAGACTGCAGGTCCCGCCCATGGTCCCGGTCCTCCAGTTCCTGACTAGAGCATTTGCGACCCTTAGCCCTGGAAACTGCGTCCACAGCAGCGTACATCAGCCAAGATGGAAGACTCGAGAAGCTCGAGTGTGATTGCTGATAGAGGAGAAAGAGCTTAGTGGCAGTGTACCTTGTGAGCGGTATTCGATGGCGGCCATGAGTTTGTAACTTTGTATCCGTACGAATAGTGTATTTCGCAGAAGCCGGATTCTTCTGGCTGGGAACAGGGGATGGTGACAAGAAGTCTGAAGAAGACCAGGGGCCTTGATTGGAAGGAAGCTGTCCCGAGGTCCCACGATGCCCGATTCTAATCAGCGGTGATGGCTCCCGGGGGGTCGGTGACAGGCCGCCGGTGCAACAGAATGGACGATGTTACTCCGTAGTCCGTACTCATGGGAGAGAAGAAAAAGTAGGCCAAAGGCAAAAGCAAGAAGGGTGGATTCCTGGATGGAGATCAGCTGCGCCGTGTGTCCTGGCTTTGCCTTGCCTGGAGCCCGGGGGAAGGCAAGGGGGGCCGACGATGAAAGTTGCATCCAGAAAAATTCCAGATTGCGGATGGGCGAGTTTGGGCGTCGTGGGCCAGAGACTTGGGCTGCATTTGACATCCACTCTTGCCCACAGCCCAGCGGGCAGACTCAAATACGGAGTAGTAAGTACCTACCTTAGAGCAAGTGGGTGACAGGATTCTCGAGAAAGTGGTAATATGGAGAAAAGCATCCGGGAAAGAATTGCGGTCTGAGGCATCCCGCGTGGTTTCAGGGGGTTTGCCGGTCGCAGTATCTCCTAACTTCCTAAACTTATTCGGCCCAAGCAATTTGTTGGACGGAGAAGGAACTCTACTGACTACTTAGTACCTCTCCGTAGAAGAAGTGAGGCAGAACCCAGCACCAGCTCCCAACCTACTGGATGGGAAGAGACCGGAGACTAAGGGCAAAAGGGTGCTTTTCTTCGTACCTGTGTACGGATAGCCGTGCCTCCTTTTGTACCTACCTCCAAGGATCCTGGAAGACGGGACTCCTCCCCCGCCAGAGTGGTCCATGTCTAGCGGCAACGAAGAAACGTACCTAGAACTTCTGAAGTATTCGCCCGGGAAGGTCACTCCGCGTTGTCGGAATGAAGAGCAAGGTAGACAGGTACGTACCGTGGGCCGGCCGCGACTGTTGCAAACTCCGAGGTTGGGCGATGGGCACCTCATGCTGGTCACCAGCGGTGTTGACGTTGTGCAGCAGGTGTTGACGTTGTGCCTGGCACCGGCTTGGCCTGGCACCTGGAGACTGGAGACCCAAGGTACCTGTCTTCCTCCCCTCTTTTTTCTGCCCCCTCTTCACAGTCGCAGTCTCCCAGAGTCCAGTGTCAGTTGGCAGTCGCAATATTCCTTTCCTTCGCCCGCCGGGCCTTCCGCCTTTCGCCCTGTACGACGCTATGCTGGGACCTGCAGCAGAATCGGATCCGTTTCTCGCGTTGGCTGCTGAAGGAATCCGTCCGCTGCGCCGCCCCTCTCCAGTCTCCAGTCTCCAGAGATCCGATTTTTCTGTTCGGCGGAGGAGAGGAGAAGCCCAGGATGCCACTCACCGTGACCCGTAAACGCAATCCGTTACCCGGCAGGACTGGATTGGACTGGACAAGACGATACGTCGAGCACATGGCTTGAGCCCTTCTGCCTATGGCACACCGCACGAGAAACTGAAAAAGACAGAATCGGCTGAGACGGGAAAAGCTTCGTTGCTGACTTGTTCTGATGGGTCCCAGATAAAAGCTTCTGATTGCTGCGGACATTCAGGAACGCTTCCGCGGTGCCTCGAGCACCAAGCTCCCTCAGACCTAGACCTGTCCATGTCTCCGTTGGCCCTTACGCTCTACAAGAGGCGCCGAAGATGAGCAGAAACATTTCTATGCCAGGATGGAGCTGGGAGGCGAGAGAAAATTTCGTGCAAAGTATTACAGAGGTAGGAAAGGTAGAGACGGAGACAAAGGCGGGGAATGGAGGGAGACGGAAGCGATATCGAGTGCTACTAAGAGACATCAAGCAGTCAAAGGAGCCTAGGGGCAGCGCATCAGGGTCGCCCTTCCCTTCATGAATCGGTGCCATTTCAATTTTGCTTTTTTGAATTTTTCTCTCCCTCACCTTTTCATTTTGGGTTTCTTGGTTGCCACTTGTCTTGCTGCTCCTTACTCGTTGCCCTGCCATGTCTTTGTTACGTCGCCCACAGAATCGATGATAGGGCAGCCTTTCTGATGAGCCTCTGTCAAAACGGTTGTTTGCTTCATATCCGTGCGGTTCCTTTCAAAGACACCCTGCCTCGTGGTTGGTTAGCCAGCTCCAGGGCATGGTTTGATACCAAAGCTGTGTATGATGGATACGTTGGTTACGTAGGATTGTGTCCAGACAATTCGGCTCGATTGCACGGGAAGCGGCAGTACACAATACTCGTTTACGCTTACTGCGTAGGTAGGTAGGCTCAAGGGAATCTCGATGGCATCTTGGCCATGTCCTCGTACAATGCGAGAGAGTCTAGTAGTAGAGGATAATCATCGGAGGGAACATCAACTCTCTTCAATTCCGGCGGAGTAAGTGACGGCAGCGGCAGCATCTGTGCATGCCTTCTGGAGAATCATACCGCAAGTACCAGCAAAAATGCGCCACAGAGCACCTCAGCCAGAGCAGGGCGAGCTGGGTACTTCGAATCAAGTAGTCGCAGATGTATCCTCGTACCTGCCCTTTTCATGACTGCGACCGGCCCCCGGCAACAACAAGGCGCATGGGTCCTCACGGGTGGCTGGCTACTTGCAACTACGTACCGACCGCATGACGAGCCATGTACCTAGGTACCTTGCCTTCCTTGCTCCCCCTGCAAACAAGGCACTACTTTCCGGCAGGTGCTTTCTCTCCCAACTTTGGGCCGCTGAGGTCTTTCTGAGACTCTCTCGCTGGGCAGGTCGTAGGCGTCACACGCTAAGAGCCCGCTCCTTACCGACCGGTCCATCCCAGCACACACCACCCGACCGACCTTCTGTCTCTCTCCCCCAAAGCCCAGTCCACCCCCCATTCCCCAATCACCCAGTTGCCAGCACCAACAAGTGCCTTCCTCATCAGCACCGACGCCATCCATCCATTCACCAGTGCCAGCGCACTCAGCAAATTTTGGCTTACCTTAGGTTTGCACTGACTGACCTTACTGACCTCATTCCCGTCTGGTCTCCCACAACCTCCACCACCTCCTCCTCCAGCCGTCTTCGTCTTTTACATCAGACACACCACACACTCCTCTTCTCAACTTACACCACCACACTTGGTTTCTTCCCCCCCTCCAATCCCCTCATTTAGAGCTTCTTACTCTTCGTTGTCAACCCGTATTCTTTTCTACCCAGGAAACATTCTGCGAATCACTCTCACTCTTGTGTTCCTGTCAAACAGCTCCACAGCAGCCCAATCGCCAGTAGCTTAGCACCCCGTCACCCACGAAACCTAGACACGACCGCGCATTCGTCTTGCCTCAAATCGGTCCCAAAGCAACACAACAACAACCACTCAGACGATATCTCCAGATTCCCGACAGGGTCCCTACCTTCCACCCAGAAATCCATCCTATACCACGTCGCATTGTCGAACATCATGATAGGCCTGCTTCCGAACTACGATTGCCGGCTCCCGAGTTAACAATACCCACATTCGATTGGTATGAGGACTAGACGAGGCTCCATTCCCTTTGCTGTCTCACTTGAAAATCCTCGGCCATGGAAAAGACATCCAGCACCAGAAACGGGCCCTCTGACGCAAGCCAGTCACGCATAGAACATACAGAGACGTCCATCACTACCCCCTCAAACAACGCCGCCGAGACCCAACCGCACTCTAAACCATCCTCCGCCACAACCTCGTTAACACCATCACCATACAACTCCCGCGACACCTCCCCGTCACGAAAGGCACAGAAGCCCGTTCACGCGCCCAAATCCGCATCTACCCCCGGCCTGAGGTCGCGCAAAGGCAGCCAACAGGACTTGACTGTAGTACGGACACCCAGGTCCAATACCAACATACCAGGACCAGCGACGTCGTCCAGGACGCTCTCCGCAGCGACAACTCCTACTTTACTCCCGAATTCCCAAGAATCCTTCCTTAGATCTATCAATCCTCAGAAGGCACCCCTCAATACTGAGGTAGCTCAAACGAGAGACAGCCCTCGCTGGCCTGTGTCGCCTCGCTTGCGCTCGCCCCCTCCTCAGCTCAATAAGCCTCACATTCCGCCCACTACACGAAAAGGCGAGCAGGAAGCCCCGAGGGTGAATCTCACGAAAGTCTCTCCGACTCCACAACCGGACCCCCTCCCTTCCATGTCAGAGAGCGAAACCGACGACTCGCAACTACCATCTGGCGTGCGAACCCCAGTAACCGTCAACGGCTCGACTCTGGAAACAGTACAGGAAGTAAGTTTGCCGAATTCGCCAGGGCAAATGGACTCTACGCTGGAGCAGGTCAACGAGAAGTTGGCCCACGAGGCTGCTGTGAGTGCCGAAAGCCTAGCGACGCAAGTGGACAACAATCGCACCATCCGCCTTAGCAGGGGAGCCCTCCAGGCTCACGATAACATGGGCGACAACGGGATACCCAGAGTGCGATCGCAGAGCTCCGCTCCTGCCCCGACGGTCACGCGACAGTCTAGTGTGCTGTCCAACAAGCAAGGCAAGAGCAAAGCAACGGGAGAAGGATCTTCCCTCATAGTCGAGACGGAAACGGTGTCGTCTATTCCCCAGGTGGCATTGGCACCTGCTTCTAAATTGGAAGTCGGCAGCGGCACACTCAGGGCGAAGCCAAGTACCGAGACGATTAGGCCCAAGAAAGACAAGAAGAAGACGAGCCGGAAGCAACCCACGGTCAATTCTGGCAACGGTGAGACACCAGATTCAATTTTGTACTCCTCTAGGACCCTTCGGCATCACCAGCACAGTCTGCGATCAGTGTCTGCAGCAACTGATGCTTTGTAGCCGCTCGAAACAATGTTTTTGGGACCGCGAGCAGAGATGGTGCGCTCTCCGCGGCAGTTCCGATATCGCAT